TGTGCACCCCTTGCTCCCTTAGGCCCCCTCAATCAATATGGAGTTAACCTGTGTGGTCTCCTACCCAACGCCCTCTGGCAAATGGACGTCACCCATTATAACTCCTTTGGTAATCTTAAGTATGTCCATGTCATTGTTGACACCTATTCCTCCTTTCTTTTCGCCATTGTTCAAACTGGTGAAAAGGCCTCATATGCCATTAAGGCAGTCAGATCAGCAATGTTGGTAATGGGAGTGCCATGGGCCCTAAAAACTGATAATGGGCCAGTTCACACCTCTCTACAATTCCAATCATTCCTGTCAACATGGAAAATTAGCCACTCCCTCAGGATCCGTTATAATCCACAGGAACAGGCCATTGTGGAGCAGGCTAATAGGACCCTCAAAGAAACATTACAAAAATTTGCTACCCCTGAGTCTAAAAGGGACCTACACCTGGCTCTAATTGAAGTTCTATTCAGCATTAATTTCCTGTCCTTTGATGAAAATGGGTTGATCCCAGCCTACAAACACTGGGCTACCATGCCTAGGCCTACACCCCTGCCACTAGTGAGATGGAAGGACCCCATAACATGTCAATGGCAACTGCCCACCCCCTTGTTAACAAGAGGACGAGGCTATGCTTGTGCGTTTCCTTAGACAGAAACAAAGCCAGTATGGGTTCCAGCGAGAGATGTGAGACCAGCAACTGACCAACAGGACCCCCAGGACACAGAGACCTTGTCGCTATCTGGATAATTGGTTTGCTCCTCCCTGCCCCTGCCATGGCCCATGATCTCTGGGCCTTGGTCCCCTCCCCGCCTATACTCTTGCCCTTATCACTTCATTCCCCAGCCTACCCCACCCTCTATTCAACTAATTCTATGCTTGGCCGCCCCGCCATGGACCCACTTACTTCCTGGGAATCACTCAGTGGCTCCTGGCCCCTAAATAACTCTCTATGCTTCACTACCAACAACGCATCCTCATGCATTGGGCTGTTCAACCTGACCATCCAAGATTATACTGGCAGTGCCTACTCGGGTTACATGCTTAAACCCCAGGGCCTTTCCCCTACCTTCAACAACACCGATGTAATCTTGGTCCTCACTGCACTAGGGACAATAATAACAGGGGAGGCGGAGGGGACC